GGTGGTTTTGGTAATTCCTAACAACATATAGCTCATTGAGCTAATACTATTTCAAGATTAATATTTCAGGAAAGCTCAATGATTGGCATGGCATGGATGAGAAAAGTGGACCCCTCAAAATGCTAAGGACAAAAGGATTGGCTCAATCTCAAAGCTCAAGACTCTACATTTTCTATTTTAGTGATCCAAGATCACATTGAGTCTATAGGAAAAGTCAATACTATCAAGGAGGGATGAGGTGTTGCATAATGAGGCTCTTGCTCAAAATGCTTAGTGATATGCTCCAAAGCCCTCAACTACTTTCTCACATCCACATATTGAAGGAAATATGCCCTAGAGGCAATAATAAAGTTATTATTTATTTCCTTATATCATGATAAATGTTTATTATTCATGCTAGAATTGTATTAACCGGAAACATAATACATGTGTGAATACATAGACAAACAGAGTGTCACTAGTATGCCTCTACTTGACTAGCTCGTTGATCAAAGATGGTTATGTTTCCTAACCATAGACATGAGTTGTCATTTGATTAACGGGATCACATCATTAGGAGAATGATGTGATTGACTTGACCCATTCCGTTAGCATAGCACTTGATCATTTAGTTTGTTGCTATTGCTTTCTTCATGACTTATACATGTTTCTATGACTATGAGATTATGCAACTCCCGTTTACCAGAGGAACACTTTGTGTGCTACCAAACGTCACAACGTAACTGGGTGATTATAAAGGTGCTCTACAGGTGTCTCCGAAGGTACTTGTTGGGTTGGCGTATTTCGAGATTAGGATTTGTCACTCCGATTGTCGGAGAGGTATCTCTGGGCCCTCTCGGTAATGCACATCACTTAAGCCTTGCAAGCATTGCAACTAATGAGTTAGTTATGGGATGATGTATTACGGAACGAGTAAAGAGACTTGCCGGTAACGAGATTGAACTAGGTATTGAGATACCGACGATCAAATCTTGGGCAAGTAACATACCGATGACAAAGGGAACAACGTATGTTGTTATGTGGTCTGACCGATAAAGATCTTCGTAGAATATGTGGGAGCCAATATGAGCATCCAGGTTCCGCTATTGGTTATTGACCGGAGACATGTCTCTGTCATGTCTACATAGTTCTCGAACCCGTAGGGTCCGCACGCTTAAAGTTTCGGTGACGATTGTATTATGAGTTTATGTGATTTGATGTACCGAAGGTAGTTTGGAGTCCCTGATGAGATCGGGGACATGACGAGGAGTCTCGAAATGGTAGAGACGTAAAGATCGATATATTGGATGACTATATTCGGACATCGGAAAGGTTCCGAGTGATTCGGGTATTTTCGGGGGTACCGGGGAGTTACGGGAATACGAATTGGTGGAAGAGAGGAGGCAGGGCGCGCGGCCCCCCTAGCCCAAACCGAATTGGACTAGAGGGCCGGCCCCCCTTTCCTCCTTTTCCTCCTTCTCCTTCCTTCTCCTTCTCCTCCTTCCTTTCCTCCTCCTAGTAGGAGTAGGAAAGGGGAGTCCTACTCCTACTAGGAGGAGGACTCCTCCTCCTGGCGCGCCCATAGAGGGCCGGCCGGCCTCCCCCCTTGCTCCTCTATATACAGGGGCAGGGGGCACCTCTAGACACACAAGTTGATTAGTTGATCTCTCCCAGCCGTGTGCGGTGCCCCCTCCACCATATTCCACCTCGGTCATATTGTAGCGGTGCTTAGGCGAAGCCCTGCGTCGGTAGCAACATCATCACCGTCACCACGCCGTCGTGCTGGCGGAACTCTCCCGTGAAGCTCTGCTGGATCGGAGTTCGCGGGATGTCATCAAGCTGAACGTGTGCTGAACTCGGAGGTGTCGTGCGTTCGGTACTTGGATCGGTCAGATCATGAAGATGTACGACTACATCAACCGCGTTGTGCTAACGCTTCCGCTTTCGGTCTACGAGGGTACATGGACAACACTCTTCCCTCTCGTTGCTATGCATCACCATGATCTTGCGTGTGCGTAGGAAAATTTTGAAATTACTACGTTCCCCTACACATATGACCTAAACCAAAAGTCAAACTCGGCCCCATCGATTCTTTCTATTTGGCACCACCGAGTTCAGATGTCATAGCCACTGCCACAAACCCTAGGCAAATCGGTCTCACCGAGATGGGATTGTAATCTCTCCGTTTCCATTCGTAATGTTTCGGTCCCACCGAGATTGCAATGTAAACTCTCTGTTTCCCTTTCGTAACATTTCGGTCTCACCGAAATGAGCGAATCGGTCCCACCGAGTTTACCTGACCAACTCTCTGGTTAGCTTATTACCAAAATCGGTCTCACCGAGTTTGTGTAATCGGTCTCACCGAGATTACGTTATGCCCTAACCCTGACCATATAGGTCCTACCGAGTTGCATGTCGGTCCCATCGAAAATCCTAACGGTCACTAGATTTGCTGAATCGGTCCGACCGAGTTTATCAATTCGGTCCCACTGAGATTGGCAAGTTGTGTGTAATGGTTAGATTTTGTGTGGAGGCTATATATACCCCTCCACCTCCTCTTTATTCGTGGAGAGAGCCATCAGAACGAACCTACACTTCCAACTTACCTTATCTGAGAGAGAACCACCTACACTTGTGTTGAGGCCAAGATATTCCATTCTTACCATATGAATCTTGATCTCTAGCCTTCCCAAGTTGCTTTCCATTCAAATCTTCTTTCCACAAAATCCATATCCTGTGAGAGAGAGTTGAGTGTTGGGGAGACTATCATTTGAAGCACAAGAGCAAGGAGTTCATCATCAACACACCATTTGTTACTTCTTGGAGAGTGTTGTCTCCTAGATTGGCTAGGTGTCACTTGGGAGCCTCTGACAAGATTGTGGAGTTGAACCAAGGAGTTTGTAAGGGCAAGGAGATCGCCTACTTCGTGAAGATCTACCCTAGTGAGGCAAGTCCTTCGTGGGCGACGGCCATGGTGGGATAGACAAGGTTGCTTCTTCGTGGACCCTTCGTGGGTGGAGCCATCCGTGGACTCGCGCATCCATTACCCTTTGTGGGTTGAAGTCTCCATCAACGTGGATGTACGATAGCACCACCTATCGGAACCACGACAAAAACATCCGTGTCTCCTATTGCGTTTGAATCCTCCAAACCCTTCTCTTTACATTCTTGCAAGTTGCATGCTTTACTTTCCGCTGCTCATATACTCTTTGCATGTTCGCTTGAATTGTGTTAAGATTGCTTGACTTGTCCAAAGTTGCTAAAATCTGCCAAGAACTAAAATTGGAAAAAGGATAAGTTTTATTTGGTCAAGTAGTCTAATCACCCCCCTTCTAGACATACTTTCGATCCTACACAGACCCTTCTAAGCCGGGCCTAGGAACCAACCAGACGTCCCGAGAAATTCGACGACATGTAGAGAGCGAGGGTTAGGGCAGTCGGCACTATTCAGGCAGATCCATCAGACCACATTGTAATAAGCTTCTCCTTTACACTACAAGCATCATTGAGCATTCTTCAAACCGTTCAAGCCATTTTTCCTAAGTCCCTGTGTCAGACAAACCCATTGTCATCCATTTCCATGACTGACTACGACGAATAATTGCTTCGTGGTGGGAAGGGGCTGATGCCTTCCCACCCACCCAGGTTCAAGGCATGGTACTTGCAAGTTGGGTTTGTTGCACCAATTATACTATAGGGGGTTCCCCTTCAGTCTTTCTGTCAAAAAAATTTGCTTCGTATGTCACATAGTATATAAGATGGTCTCAAGAACTTAACTAACACATAGATTCATACATTAATTTTTCCACCTCCGCGTCCATCGCAACAATACCTCTCTGGCCGTCAAGGCATTGTCAGACGTCTGCTGTCCCCGTCCACGGTCCTGCCCGCCTTGGACTACGCCGCCATTCATCTAGGATTTGTCTGCAGCCAGGTACTCTCCGCCCCCTGTTGACGCCATCCATGGTAGACACCACTCCCGGCCAACAGGTATTCGGTCAGATGTCATTGAGATTTTTTTAATACATTTTTGTTGTTTTCTAGAGTAAAACATGATGGTAGGGTACTTGGTGATGGAGGATGAGCTGATGTGTGACGTGTGGAAGGTTTACGGATTTTGTGGGCATGAGGCAAGGGGGCTCTACGTTTTGGCATAACGTGCATGCTTTGTTTCATGAGCCAAATCACTTCGCGCCCTACGACTTGCAAATGATTCATGATTGCAATGTGAAGTCGCTAACCCATCGATGGTACACGATCTTCAACTCGGTCATGAAGTTTTACGATGCAATTGCACAAATGAAGAGAAGGTGGCCACCTGGCTTGCACACCATTGACATCATGAGTTTTGCTTCCTGTTGCTCTACATGTTGATCAATTCTTTTATTGAGTCAATGTTGCAACTTGATAATCATCACATTGTATAGTCTGGATGTGCTTGAATTGTGTTATTTTCTATAATTATTTTGAGAGTTGTGGGCTTAATAAAAATTAAGGACCGGTGCTTAAGCGGTGATGCCCTAAGTTGTGTGTTCATATGTGTGAATTATATACTCTGAAAAAGAAAACTGCGGAGCTATTGTCAATAGCAGCGGCAGCTAGTCCGGACGTGTCCGCCGGGCATGGCTGGCCGTTGAACACGCGGGCGCGGCTGATGCTAATCCCGTGAACCGGTCCTGTCCAAGTAGTACTTCAACATGCACGTCGCACTTTTCACCGTTCCACGGCGTCGACCCGTAGGAGCCTGGCTGCGAATTGGTCCATCGAGGGCGAATCACCACCGTCAGAAGGGGAAAAAAGAACACCGGTCGAAGACAGCGGCTCGTGTGACTTGCGCGCCAACGGGACATCAGCCACGCGCCCATGCCGGCGGCTAAGGGCGACTTCGACACAGCTCTATATAATAGCACGCACGCGATCTCGTGCATCAGCTGCACACATCCGATCCAGCGCCCAGCCGTCATCGTGCTAGCTGATTCGCTCTGCTCCACCTGCGCGCACTTGGCGCGCCTGATCCGGCCATGGCAGGGCCAGGCGAGAAGCCGTCGTCCACCTCCGCCAACGGCAATGGCACGCAAGCCCCGCCGCCTCCGGCCGCTCCCGGCGGCTCCGGTATGTGCCGCCTCCTCTCTTCTCTCGCTCGCGTCTGGATCGTGAGTTCGTGACGGTCCTGCGTGTGGTGATCGGTTTTCCTTCTCATAAATTTGACGCCTGAGTACCACGGTCGCGACGCCATTCCCGATTCTTTCGCTTGTTTCCTTGTTTGCTTCTTGTCGATGTTGCACTTGGCTGTAGAAGAGGCCCTTGCCAGTTGCCACACCGCGTGGTTCTTTGCTGTGTTCCTACTTCCTGCCGTTCGCGCCTCGAGATCGACCCTCCAAGAGACAGGAGACATGGGGGTATTATTACTAAGGGCATGTACAATGGTTGATAAGATAGTTTTATCTTAAGTTTGGACCGGTCTAGCGAGCGGCCGGCTGCTCACTATACTTTGCGAGCGGCCGGCCCAAAATTACAAGTTTTGGTCCTCTAATAATTTATAAATAGCAATTATCTATTGTGTGTCTTTTTCTGTTAGTTAATGAATGTTTTTATTAGCATTAAATGCGTATAGCAAATGCGTATAGACTGGTCCGTGAAACACATTTATTTTCGTCTCTTAAATCTTTAAAAAGTCATATCTTTTAAACCACACGTTGGAATTCAGATCCGTTTTCACCTTTGGGTTCATCGCGACGAGATCTTCGAAACTAGATCCCATATGGGTATGTTTCGACGAATTTTTTTGATGCCAACTTTGGTGCTATATGGTGCAACTATAGTACTGCATTATGCAACTAGACTACATTGCCGTGCCAACTGAATATATGTGTGTGTAACTAGTCCTGCCAACTAAATATTAATGCGTGTGCAACTAGTGTCCTGCCAACTAAACATCAATGTGTGTGCAACTAGACTATATTACAAGCCAACTAAGCATATGTGTGTGCAACTAGTCTTCCTGCCAACTAAACATCAATGTGTGCGCAACTAGACTACGTTACAAGCCAACTAAATATCAATGTGTGTGCAACTAGACTACATTACAAGCTATGATAATTCATATGCGACTATGCGGACCAGATTATGCAACTATGTGGCCATGTATGTGCCAACTAGGACTACTATGTGTGCAACGACAACTACTAAGGATGCAGCTTCAAAAAACTGGGTTTGAAAAAAATTGCACCATGCAGTACTAAAGTTGCACAAAGCAGTACTGAAGTTGCACAATACAGCGCCAAAGTTGGCATCAAAAAAATTTCGTCGAAACATATCCATGCGGGATCTAGTTTCGAAGATCTCGTCGCGATGAATCCAACGGTGAAGACGGATCTGAATGCCGACGTGTGGTTTAAAAGATACGACTTTTTAAAAATTGAAGTGGCCAAAATAAATGTGCGTGAATCTGTTTCCAGGACTAGTCCGTACGCATTTAATGCTAACAAAAAACATTCACTAGCTGACAAAAAAAGACACACATGTAAGTAACCAGCCCGGCCGCCCGTTCCTACGAAAAAGTGGGCGTGCACTTTTAAGATTTCAGGCTTAAGTTTTACATGTAATTTAGAGATGACAAAGAAAAATGTCTACAATGAGTCATCTCTTAATCTTATCTTCAATAATTAGCAATTCCTAAAAATATGGTGAGATATATTATGTTAAGAGATCATCTCTTGTCTTGTCTTAAATAAGAGAAGACAAGCCTTCTCTTATGAGTTCTCTCTCCTCCACCTCATCATTTATCCTACGTGGCACTCTTAAGATAGCACCATTGTACATGCCCTAACGGGACTCTGCCGATGAAAGCGATTTGTCTGCCTGCGCGCGGTGTAATGCCGGATTACCGGCGCCCATGCTTTCTTTAGACTGTAGCCAAGTTGTCCTTTTGTTGACTCATGGCGGCGATCTCGATGCTTTGCGTACTCCCAAATCTTGCGTGATTTGCGTCAGGCACGAAATATACTTGTCGGAGTAACTTCACAAGACACGGATGCCACGCGGGTGCATTCGGATCATGAATGTTTTCTTTGTGTGGATTAGAGCAACTCCAACGGGCCGACCCAAACGGACGGCGATTTTATCCGTTTTTTGTTCGTTTGGATCGGTCAGACGGACACGAATGCCCGCTTCGGCATTTGGGTCGGCGCCTGCGCTCAACGCTGGCCGATACCTATTTTAACGGCGTCAAAAAAAATGAATGCATGCATATTTAAAAAAAAGAGAAACAATATTAATTAAACATTAAAGCCAGCCACGAAGGCCGGCGAGAGTCCACGCGTCCACACATTTGCATTTAAAAAACAGCCTAAACTACGAGGCGGCGCGTTGCCCTAGGCGTCGTCGTCGTCCTCCTCGGGGTCCGTGAGGTCGATGAGCGTCGGCGCCGGCCCGGCCCAGGCGAACGCCGTGTTCCAGAGCGCCGCCATGTTGGGTTGTGCCGGCGCAAGCAGTGCCGGGGCGGGGGGGAGGGGGGTGTGCGGCCGCCTGTGCAGCCCGGCCTAGCGCTCCTCCTCCTCGGCCTCGCGCTGCTCCTCCTCGAGGTCGCGCTCGAGCATCTCCTCGTATTCACCGCGACGCCCCGTCGCCTCGCCTCCTCGCGCATGCCCCGTCGCCTCGCCTCCTCGTGCTCGAAGGCGAACCACCTCGCCCAGTTGGGCGAGTCGGCTGCGTAGGCCTTGTCGAGGCGTTGCTCCGGTGTCAGGCGTCAGCAGCGCCCACCGGCGCCGCACCTCCTCCGCGTGAGCACGAGCCGTCCGCGGCGCCGCCGGCACTGGGATCCTATCTGGATCCAGATGCCAGTCGTGCGGCAGCGTCACGTCCGGATACGGCAGAGGCTGGCGGTTCTGCCAGTGCCACTCTGCCTGGTGCACTAGCACGCTGACGCTCTGCCTCTGCCGGCGAGGCGCCGGCGGAGGTGGGAGGAACTCGGAGGGGAAAGGGGTGGCAGGGGACTTGCCCTTGATCTTGCTGCCGCTGGCGTCGGAGAAGAGGCCCATCTTGCTGTGGTTGTGGTGGCTAGGGTTTGCCGGCGACGAGGGAGCAAAGGTGGGCAGATATGGACGGCGAGTATGGATGAGGACGGCCCCGCCGCACGGTCGACTTAAAAAAGGACGAGCGCCGTCACTGACGCGTGGGCCCGTCGTTATAAATTAAGCTGACTGCGTGGGCAGCGGGTAGTTGGACGGCTACCATATGGGGACGCGGTGGATAGCGAGAAGGCGCGTGAAGCGTCCGTTCGGCGTCCGTGCCGACGCATTTGGGGCGCAAATTTGGGTCGTAAATGCGTCGGTGCGGACGCAACGCGGACGTGATTTGGGTTTGGCTCGGCGCGTTGGGCCGCCACTTTTGTCCGCGTCGACCAAAACGGACGCAGACGGACGAAATGGATGGGCCCTTTGGAGTTGCTCTTAAAGCATGGTTAATAATATAGCCAACTGCTGACTGTAAAATGATGTCATACAGGAAACACATATATTCATTCATACAACAAGGTTAGATATAAGATTATTTTTTCTCATTTTCTTCCAATCTCTTTCTTCACATTTATTGCATCTGTCTAGAAGCACGCATATAGCTAGGCTCTTGCCACTTCTCTTACTTTTTTATGTCTCTTTTCTTTACATAAACAAAATTGCCATGTAAGAGGGCTATAAACCTGCTAGAGCAAGTACAATAGAATGACGTAGGTGGGTTCTAAACCTTTTTAAATAGTACTATATTTTGATAAGTTGGAGAAGAGAGAAGGGAAACGAGCTACTGATTACATTGCAGCACGCGCTCCTAGGCATGTTGCGAGAGAATGAGATGGGCCATGTATCAAAAAAATACTACATATTTATATGTAACTATTGAACTTGCCGGCTATAAGCTTGTCTATAGATAATGTTGCAAGACCATATAGCTAGCAGCTCGCTATATTATTAAGAGCAAGTATAATAGTGGGCTATAAGCCCGCTTACATGGCATTTTTGCCTATGTGGAGAAGAGAGATAAGGAAAAAAATAAAAAAATGGGCTCTCATGCAAGAGTCAGGCTTTATGCGTGCTTCTAGGCAAAAGTATTTAATGAGAGAAAAGAGATATTAGAGAGAAAGTGAAAAAAGATGTGAGCTTATAGCCAATATTATAGCCTGCTTTATTGTATGACCAATTAATAATGCTAACTCTTGATGACATGACATGTTCATACAACTAGTTATATTATTAATCATGCTCTAATCATGCTTTTATTGTATGCACAACAAGACTTTTTGCAAAACTGAAGCTCCATTAATTAACCTTGGTCATTACAATCCTGTTTGCACAAGGAATCAACAGGACTATGGACGAATCAATGGTTAGAGCATGATTAAATTATGTGGAGGGGGTATGTTGTCATTGTATCAGTGTCAAAACTGCAACATGATAATTTTAATAACAACCCAGTGGCAACTTTGACACGAATACAATGACAACTTCATTTACCGTGTAGTGGCAATTTTAGAGTAAAAAAAGAAGTTTGTCAATACATATCCAAGTGGTTTCTAAGTAAATGGTGAAAATGGATTGTGAATCAGGCAGGCAGTTTAGTGTGTAGAACATTCTTTTATCTTGTTGTTCTCGTTATCCTAAACTTCGTACAGTTAGCTGCCCATGCAGTTGATTCTCTGATCATATGGTCGGGAGGACGTCGGAAGACGACGTGCATAGTGAGAAATGAGGAAAAGTTCTCTCTGTATATTTTCCGTAGTTATATATCCAAGTATTATTTAGTTGTCATATTCAAGTATTAATTATATAAAAATTCTCTAATAAAACGGACACTATAAATATTCCACCCGTCCTAAACATATTGTATATATCCAGGTGTTAATATCAGCTAGCTATTTCCCGGCGTTTCTGAAAAAAAAACATTTTCTAAGCTTTCTATATCTATAAAAAATAATGTAAGGAGCTTTTTCAAAGTGTTCCCAAATCAACAAAAGGGCTATGTTCTTTTCTTGAGAATCTCCACAAAACCTAGGAATGTGTCAAATAGGTGCCTTTTGCACAGGGCAGCACTCTGGACGGGTCAGCCCATTTTAGCAACTTAGTGGAACTGGCTATTTGATTTACTAATGGCTTTAGGAACATTCTAGAATCTTTCATTTTGAAAGAAAAACTGTTTTTTCAGGTTTTACTTTTATTATTATTAGTCTTTCATTTTTCAGGTTTATTATTTTTTCAAAAAAAGTTCCAAAAAATCAAATTTGTTCAGAAATGTTTTGGGATTTTCAAATTATGTTAAAAATTGGTAAATTTTCTTGTTTTCGAAAATTATGCAGGATTTTGAAAAGTTGTTCAAGAAATTTCAAAAAATGTTTTAGAGTTTGAAAATTTATTTGGAAATTCAAAATTTGTTCAGAATTTCCAAAAACGTTTTTGCAAATATATTTTTTGAAAATTTCGTAATATTTTACCAATTTTCAAAATATATTAATATTTTAATAAAATAATAGAAAAAATCAAATCGCTACGGTGTAGTCACTACAAGGCCTTGCTGCTGGGCTGGCCCACTTGGCGACGCCCTACGCGAGTGGCCAACAACTTAACGCACAGGGATTCATATAGGGAGTTCCTAAAACCTATGTTTTTTTTGAGACAATCCTAAAACCTATGTTGTTGTGACGGAAATGAACCGTCTGTCTATCTGATTTCCGGCAGGCATGTGGCCCGTTTTTATTCTAGGCCCGACTTATGTGAAAAAACTATTGGATCGATACTCACCCATAAAAGGCTATTTGGTCGAGGCCTTCCAAGATTATAGTGATTCTAAGAACTCCTGGTCATAAGTTCTTTTTTCGAAAAGGCCAAAGGTCATATATTAAGTGCACAAATGCTTAAAAAACATGCATATAGAAAATTTAAAGATACATCAAAAAAATTGAAAGTGCCGAAGTCTTCTTCCTCCTGCATCCATCAACAACGTGTTGTGAGCAAAGCTTGTTGCCGCCACCGAACCTCCATCTCAGCGAATCAATGTTGATTAAACACTGGTGCTTGGAGCAGCAATGGTCCGGAACTCGTTGATATAGACTAGAAGACGTCAACGACCACGATCTATATAGCAAATGTCATGCATATAATGCTACTATATGATGCTAACTTCATACTCCCTTCGTCCGGTAAAGAATGTACATCTAGCTTCAAAATTTGTTCATAAAAGAGTGTACTTCCATCTTTGCAATGCACTTTAAAGTACTCAAGACCAATAGCAATACACACATGGTCTTCTTAATTTTTACATGCACTTAGCTCATTGGGGGTTGGGTGATTAAATAGAAGAGAGACGGTGACTTGCACATTTTCAATGCATTTTTTTACTTAACTTCATAATTTGTCCTAAAATTTCTAGATGTACACTCTTCATCGGACGGAGTGAGTAGTACATAGTATCGTAGATTGATATTTTAGATGACTCAATTTATTACTCCTACTTTGTATGCCTCATAATAACAACTATTTATTAGAAATGGTGTAATAATGTGATATTACTACCTTCTCTTTCTCACCTAGTATTATGACATGTCATCGATATGCCTAATTGCCATTGCATATGGTTGCATGAAACTACTCTATAAGGCTGGTCATAGTGGGAGTAACATAGGTAGTAACATAGATGCCACATAAGCAAAATTGGTGATGTGGCAAGTAGTTAATGAGGAGAGAGGCAAATAGAGTAACATAATATGTTACCATCACATAGCGGTTTTCAATGCATAATGAGTCTACAAAGTAATAAATGAAGGCAACTATGTTACCACACCTATGACACTACCCACTATGAAGGTAGTAACATAGACTAGTAACATATGTATGTTACTAGTCTAAGTTACTCTCCACTATGACCAGCCTAATATCCCACTATGGGAGGTATTATTGTCAAGCTGAGTCTATAGTAGATTCCTATAAGGTTGGCCATAGTGAGAAGTAACTCGACTATCAACATGCATATGTTATCGGTCTATTTTATTACCTTCATAGTGGATCGTGACCTATGTGTGGTATCATGCAACCCTTTATTTGCTTAGATGTACACTTTTTTTTGGATGCATTATGCTACAGTAACATATTATTTTTACCACAAACACCACTCTTTTCATTAACTACTTGCCACAAGCAAACTTATCTTAGGGTGCGTTATGTTACTAGTTAAATTACACCCACGATGGCCAGATTACCACCTGGAGCGCTTGTGCTCTAAGATCGGCCAAATTTTCTCTTTTTTCTTTTTTTTTCTCCTTTTCCTTTTCTGCCTTCTTTGTTTCTTTTATTCCTTTTGTTTTGATGTTCGTTTTTTGTTTTTCACTTTCATTTTTCTCCTCTTTCATAGGGGAAAATATGTAAATAAATTAAAAAAAATCTTATGAACATATATTAGAACACACATGAAAAACTTTTCAAATGTTTCTTACCACCAGTGGTAGTTGCCCTCACGTGAGTTTTCTATGTTGTATGTAGTATCTGTCAAAACCAAGAGTATGTACATACAATATATGTAGTATATAGGAATACTTGGGTAGTATATGTCCCATTTTTTAGGTAGTGCGTACTACTTTTTTAGTGTATTGTTTTATACATACAAATATAAAGTTTTTTTATATAAAAAAACTATGGACTCACATGTAATTTTTTCGTATAGCTTGCTTTGAAATATCTCAGATATAGTATATGAACATATTTAGATTGACAAAGTAGTATATATACTACCACATGATAGTATATGAGACATGTGGGGTAACTATCCCTGGGTGATAGGATGTATTTTTTGGAGTATAAACAAAATAATGTTCGTACATTTGAAAAATGTCATCTCATATTTAAAAGCAATTCAGTACATACAAAAAGATTATATATGAGATGACCATTTTTTGAATGTACGAACATTATTTTGACGGACATGAACATTTTTAGTTTTCATATTCATATGTAACCTCTACACTATTGAATATTTTGATGATATTTTAAAATTTTACAATAAGATCTTATATATATTATTTTTTAAAGCACGGTTGTTGTATAGGAGATTCGACTCTACACAGCTCACTTCATGTTCATTTTATTATACTCAACCTTTTTTTCTAAAAAATAGAGAAATTAACTCGCCTTAATATAATCGCTACATATAATTCTTTCTGTGGTTTTTTCTGTATATTGTAGACATGATTATCACAATTCTGTATATTGAACCAGATGCGTGTCTATTTCCTCGCGTGTTTGTGGCATTCTGCATCTGAAATGATTTCTAGAGTCTAACAAAATGATATTTTCCTCTCATAGGTATAGCCAAAAGGCTTCCCCGTCTTGCATTCATGTTCCTGCTTGCGGTTCTGTACCGTCAGCTTCAGGCTCCGCCTCCAAAAATCTGCGGATCCCCGGACGGCCCTCCGGTGACCGGGACAAGGATCAGGCTCAGTGACGGCAGGCACTTGGCTTACCATGAGTCCGGTGTCCCGAAGGAACAAGCCAACCATAAGATCATCTTCGTCCATGGATTCGACTCATGCAGATACGATGCCCTGCGAGTATCACCCGTACGTGACAATCATCAGTTGAACCTGAATGTGTACACAGGGAAAAAAATTAATCATAGTGGACTGTTGCTGGAAACTGTGACATGCAGGAGCTGGCGCAGGAGCTCGGGATCTACATTCTGTCCTTCGATCGACCTGGATACGGCGAGAGTGACCCGCATCCTGCGAGGACCGAGAAGAGCATCGCCCTCGACATCGCGGAGCTAGCTGACAGCCTGCATCTCGGGTCCAGGTTCTACCTCGTCGGGTTCTCCATGGGCGGCGAGATCATGTGGAGCTGCCTCAAGCACATCCCCCACCGGTACCATCCGCCGCACTTCTTCTCTACTTAACACCGCTGCAGAGTACTTAATTTGCAAGCTTAGTGACAACTACATTTTCTTGACAGGCTTGCTGGGGTGTCTATCCTCGGCCCCGTGGGCAACTACTGGTGGTCGGGCTTCCCGTCGAACGTGTCGTGGGACGCGTGGTACCAGCAGACTCCTCAGGACCAATGGGCCGTCCGCGTTGCGCACCACGCGCCCTGGCTCGCCTACTGGTGGAACACCCAGAAGCTCTTCCCGGCCTCCAGCGTCATCTCCTTCAACCCCGCCATCTTCTCCACAGAAGACATGGCCATGATCCCCAAGTTCGCATCTCGACCTTGCTCGGTAATATTTACAGACCAGCGAACCAACCCCACCGTTTGCATCTCTGAGAGTCACAGTGTGTGCACCTCTATTTGTCTCAATGACTCACCCGTTGTTTGCATTTTATTGTGTGTGCGCACAGAGCAAGGCGAGGCAGCAGGGGGAGCACGAGAGCCTGCACCGGGACATGACCGTCGGGTTCGGGAAGTGGGGCTGGAGCCCGCTGGAGATGGAGAACCCGTTCCCGGGCGACGAGGCGGATGTGCACCTGTGGCACGGCGCGGAGGACCTCATCGTGCCCGTTAGCCTGTCGCGGCACATCGCGGAGAGGCTGCCATGGGTGCGCTACCACGAGCTGCCCACGGCCGGGCACCTCTTCCCCGTCGCCGACGGCATGGGGGATGTCATCCTCAGGACGATGCTGCTCGGGGAAAACTGAAGTGAGTGTTAGCTAGAGGGAGTGATCGGCGATGCTGTCTGCGTTTTCTTGTCTTCTTTGTACTACTACTGTTGTTGGTGTTTTTTCTACAAGGGGACTCTTTTTCATTGAACAACGAGGCTGCTCCTATGTACGTAGAAAGCTCATGATAATAACTCCACGCCTAGTTTTCCCCAGCAGCATTTTTTTTCCCGAAGGAAACAGCAGGACTCTGCTGAGCAGCATTACCCAATCTGAATGGCAAGTTAGCAACAAAATCAACAAAATCTTTTGCAATGAACTATAAAAATATTTTACAATATAATTGATGTGTGTATCACTCAATGCAGAGGACAACAATTCTGTTGGAACCGCCACTCCCTAGCCCTAACTCTCCTCTCCCTCTCGCTCTGCTCACTCTCTCCTGCCGTGTCTCGATCAGAAAACAGAGGAAGAAGATCGTAACAGTGGTGGACACGGAGATTTTTTCAGCGCACAAACATTTTTTTCTTTCCTCGACCGTGTCAACAAGCTAAGGGGGGAACCAGGGTTTTATACCCGCGAGCACCGGCCTGCCAGGCATCGCCTTGTACCCACTCGCTCACCCATTTCCCCACGTCCTCCGTGCTTTGGCCGCGTCCACGCACCACGCCCATACGCGGTCGCCACGGGCTCCTAGCGCGCCCGGCATGGTCTACCCCTCCTGATTGCTCGCTAACAGCACGGTGTGGCCTCGTGCACACACGCGCTGGCTCACGCACTCACACACACACCCCTACGCACACACACCCCGCGGATCCGGCGCGCTCGACGCGTCCGATGCGCGCCCATACATGCACCAGCCGCGTCAGGTTCGACGCCGCGGCTTATTGCACCTAACACTCGCGCCCTAAGTCGCGGCTCAGAGCAACCCTGCGTCCTCGACGTCGCCGTCCACCAGCAGTGCTCGCCCGCCCGCCAGCGCCTTCTTCCACTGCGGGAAGTCGCGTTTGAAGTGACCCCGCTCACCACACTTGACACACCAACCACGTCTGTTGCCGCCGAAGCCCGAGGCCTCGTTACGCGCCCCGTCGTCGTCGTTGTCCCGAGCTCCGCCTCGCTGCCGCTCCCGCGCCCGCCATTGTGCAGCAGTGAACATCAACTGATCGCCGCCATGGTTGCCTCCGTCCTGCCCGCCCGACGCAGCCTCTCGTCGAAGGCCTTCAGCCGCCCCAACGCGTCCTCGAACGCCATCGTGTCGACATTGCAGAATTGCTCGATCCCGGCCACCGCCACGTACAGGCGGTCCGGCACCGAGTCGAGCAGTTTCTTGACCAGTGCCGCGTCCTCCAGGGTCGAGCCCAACACCACGTAGCGCACCGCCATGCCACCGAGCCTATCGGCGAAGTCATCTAGGGTCTCGGCGTCCGCCATGCGCAGGAGCTCAAACTCCCCGCGCAACGTGCCCAGCCGAGCCGCCCGCACGCGATCAGCTCCGACATACCTGGCCTTGAGGCTCGCCCACACCTCCGCCGCGGTTTTCTTCGACACCACCTACAGCAGCAAGCTCTCCGCGAGGGCACTGAGGAGGTAGGCGTGTGCAGGCTTGTCCTTCTTCGTGATGACGGCCACCGCCGCGTCCTCCAGCACGACCACCGCCTCCCATAGCCCGGCCGTGTCGAGGTTCGCCTCGACCTTGATGGCCCACGCCGTGTAGTTGTCGCCGGTGAGCTGCGGCAGCGATTCGCCCACTCCGCCGCCGTATGAGATGATCGACATCGCCAGCGCGCCCTGACCTGAACGTGGCTCTGATACCAATTGTTGGAACCGCCACTCTCTAGCCCTAGCTCTCCTCTCCCTCTCGCTCTGCTCACTCTCTTCTGTCGTGGCTCGATCAGAAGACAGAGGAAGAAGAAGATCAGAACAGTGGTGGACACAGAGATTTTTCCAGCGCACGAATGCTTTTTTCTTTCCACGAGCACGAACTCGACCGTGTCAACAAGCTACAGGGGGAACCAGGGTTTTATACCGCGAGCACCGGCCTACCAGGCCTCGCCTTGCACCCACTCGCCCACCCACTTCCCCACGTCCTCCGCGCTCTGGCCGCGTCCACGCACCGCGCCCGTACGCGGTCGCCACGGCCTCCTAGCACGCCCGACGCGGTCTACCCCTTCTGATTACTCGCTAACAGCACGGCGTGGCCCCGCGCACACACGTGCTGGCTCACACACTCACACACGCACACCTACACACACACACACACTCTGCGGACCCAACGCGTCCGGTGCGCGCTCATACACGCACTAGCCGCGCCAGGTTCGATGTCGCGGCTTATTGCACCCAACAAATTCCTCCTTTCCGGAACAATGATAATCTTGTAACATATCTTATGTTACCATCTTTTGCAATGAACTATAAGAATATTTTACAATATAATTGATGTGTGCATCACTCAATGCAGAGGACAACAATTCCTCCTTTCCGGAACAATGATAATCTTGTTTACCAGACTATATTTTATCTACTTCCATAAATAAATAACACGGGCCAATTTATTTTTTTTGTTTACAAGTGCATTTTGTACCAAAATAAATTCAGCATAACATGGTTCAACAACCAGTGTCCATCGCAGAGAAAAAGGTTCGACAACAATAGAGCCGCTGCCCAACAGGATTTGGTTCGATGGACGATGAATGGATTTTAATTGATCACATGAATCAAAAAATATAAAGCGCACGGAGTCAAATGGGACCTCCTTCACCCGCCCAAAAAACAATTCTCCTTTCATTGCATTTTTTTGTTGGTAGCTTACCAAGACTCCAAGAGCGCTTGGTAAAAAGAAATCTCCCTTGAGACGACATAAAACGTCAGAACTGAGACGGGCAAATGATGAGCGTGGAAAACAATGCACCCTTTCATTTCGCCAAACAGGCACCGCAACTTACAACATCCACGGCAATATCTGACCACCCAGAGACGACGGCGATGATCCATGGGCGTGCCCGCCCAATGCTCACAGCCCTTCCGTGCGGCCGGATCACACGACCGTGGCACTATAAATTACATACGTAATCACCTAGCGTTAGTTACAGCTCCCTGGGTCTTCGTCAGGATCTTTGCGTCAGTCGGAACGGGATCAGTGTGTAGTGTCAGCTATAGTTGCTGTCCAGATGACGATTGGGTTCGCCTGTGACGAGGAGACTGCCCGAGGCACATCCTCAGGCGCTGGGAGAGGCTGTCCCCCATCTCCTCCCTCTCGCGCTTGAGCTTCTTCCACAGGGCATGGATCTTCTTCTCCTTCGTTTTCGGGGGCGACGATTTGGCCAGTTTCCTCTGTTCGTGTCTCCGCGGCGTGGCCAGAGCATTTACCGTCATGTTCTGCGGAGCAAATTACCAGGTCTGTGAGTCTTCCTTTCTCTGAGTGAGTTAGCTAGTCGACATTATTGTGTGAAGTGGCTAACGGTTATGGAAATCTTGATTTCTTAGAACACCTCTTGTGTCTAACGTGGCTACTTTCGCCTTCGGTGATGAAGGCAAGAAACTGAAGAAATGTACCTCATGCTTATCACCAAGGCCGCGTGAGAATGATCCATCACTCGCCGCACCTAACGATGAACATCTGCCCCAACTTTCTCTGTTTGAGCTTGTGTATGAGCAGGACTCCTCGTTGTGCCTACTGGTTTTATCCTATTAGGAAATGCATTATTATTACCAGCAGGGCGCTTACAAAATGATATATTTTGCACAATGGAATCGATCATGATTCAGGAAATGCATGAAATTATGCACGGAGCAGACAATATGGTGTTGATGACCTGTGATGAGTACTGACCACCCATGTCAGTACTCTACTGATCCAAAATGCTCACAATTTAGTAACTTAATGCATTTCAAAGCCAATAAATAGAAGGATCACAACGGATGGTCAGAGGATGAGTGGGAGATATGACAATGAACTTGACCGCCAAAAAAGGAGCAGCTAAAGCAATGTATACACTTTACCTGCAAATGCAGTCCAACACTATCACCATCCGCACCAGATAGGTTATGATTCTCATCTAAGAGGAAATCCTGCATTTGATGGAATGTATCAGGAAAGTATCTTTCAAAATAGTAGATACTAACATATCGGCAACAAACCTACCAAGTCACTGTCATTCTTAATGGACAACTGATTCGCGCTCTCCGATAGTAATTCGACTACCGAAGTTGTAGCTGGAAGAAAAAAGTGAAGGAGTTAGTGAACATTGAACAACACCAAGTTAAAAACTTGCAAGGAAGATGAAAAGGGGCCTGTGCCAGACCATTTCGAAAGCCATGTGCATCTGTTGATGAACTGCCTGCATCGGTTCTAGCTGCCCTCAGACCATTGATGATCTCAAAGAACAAACTCTACGAAAAAAGCAACCAAAAACAAGAGTGATTTCCTTGGAAATACTTCAAACCAGACGCTCCCAATTAGGTCACAGAGTGATATTTCATGAAAATTACCTCATTGGTCATGGTACCGATTTTTACATGTAGCTTATTTGAGCCTGATGCAGGCAACTGGGGAGGGCGCAGAGTGTTGTAGAAAAATATTGAAACCGAGTCATAGTATGATTGAGGTCTTGGGGAATTATGGTCACCCTCAAATTTTACCATACTTTTATCCCCCTGTACATAAAAACATGTGTTAAATCTTAAATGACTACCATGCTCTTCAGCAAGGAAGGTCAACCAGCACTCCATAAATTATTTTAGTTGTGATGCGACCTCTACTCCCTCTGTCCCGAATTAGTATGATTTGTCTAGATATGGATGTATCTAGACACGTTTTAGTGTTAGACACATCTGTATCTAGACAAATCTAAGACCACTAATTTGGGATGGAGGTAATATTTGCCAGTGAAACTTTATAAAGCAAGCCACATATGCATTTACCCCATATGCTTCATGAATACGATCACAGTGGTGAGGCTGAATAAACATGTCATTCAGACCATGTCCAAATAATGCAGGAATAAATGTCTTGGGAGCAAGCTGGTTAAAAAAAAGAGAACATTAAAGTTAGTTGCAGTTTGAAATATGCAGATAGTTTTGAAGTTGCTGAATGAAACATGTTTATAAATCCACAACACTTGAGATGTCAAGGCTGAATAATCTATGCAGGTAGAGGATCAAAGAAGGTATTGCCCTTCAAACCCCAGCAATAACAAGACAATCAGTGTTGGACGGAGGGAGTATGTAATTATTGATTAACTTTGGCAAGGCCTGCCAGATGCACACAGCAGTTATAAAGGGCTGTTTGGTTGCCTACACGAGAAGCTCAAGCAAGGCCAGCAGGAACCCTAAAGCACCCACAGCCAGGCCATGAGGAAACAGAATTATTGATGTTGAGTATTTCTCCATGGCCAGGCTGAGCTGATGCAACTACCGTTGGTCATGTTCCTCCTCTATCTCCACACCCATGGTTGCCAAGGTGACAAGCAAATCCAAAATTCTTCCACCAATCCCAATGACAAAATTGGGATCGTCATTGCCGAGAAGACGCCATGCTCCCTCTGTTTCTCCTGTATGGCCACATCTGATCCTGCGGCTCGGCATACAGGAGTAGCTCAAGCTCACTACCGCATAAAGCTCCAGCCAGATCCTGGCAAGCCAGGCTACGGCAATACACCATATCAGGCTACACGCGCCACCTCCTAGACGTCCTATGACCATGCTCAAGCTCAATCCCGCTACCGCATAGGATGGCCATGTCCAAGTCCTCTCCAGTCACTGCGGCCACGTGAGCGGCATGACGCCCTCCCCAACACTCCACACAACCTCCTTGTCCATGACGAGCCGCACAAGCTGTGGCATGAGAGCACCGTGATGGTGAGCTAGGACAAGCCATACCGTGCCTTGGCAAAAGCGCATCAAGCTCAAGTTGAGTAGTGCGCGTGTCTAGCCAACGTGCTTCAGCTGTTTGACGAAAGGTAACCATACTCAATCCCATGCAGGCAAGTAGACAAGATCTCTCCAAATGAGCCTGTTCAACGAAACCATGTGCCTGGATCTCCAAATGAAGGCAACCGAATACTCACTTATGTATTGTCGTAGCCTGGCTTGCCAGGATCTGGCTGGAGCTCGCACCATGACAGCCTGGCTCACCAGGACCTAGCTCATGGGGCCTGGTAGCCAAAATGATGCAGGCAGCCAAACATGCCCGTATTTGATTGTCGTTTACCAGAACTTATCTAATCTGAGACATAATCCTTTACAAGTTTACAGTGAGTCATGGGCAATGTATTGCAAAGTGTACACCGTTGCAAAATGGTTCTTTTATGATCTTTCATGAGTTCAGTCATATCTGGCTATATGTTTGTGACAAGGTATAGTTTATGAAGTGCACCTTTACAACATTAAGGTCCATTATGTCAAACTTCGCTCTTTTCTGAATGGTTCGTCGCATGTACTGTACAGCCATCTTAACCTGAAAAAGCAGAAGACCTCGTTAACACTACGAAATTACGGCAACACTCATTTGAAAACTGTTTACATTAGCGAGAATGAAATAAGCCACCAAAATCTAAGTATCTAATAAACACATCGTCCTTCTATACATCATAGTGAGCAAACATATTCCTCTACTAACTCAATGATGGAAATGAAAGCTCAAAATGTAGGAGCCACTTGTGTGCTAACATTGAGGGTCTGCAAATTATATTTCAGTAGCAGAATAAGAGTGCAGTAAGATAAAACTTCACAAACTTTTGAAAGTTGCAACTAGAGGATGTGTGTCAAGCTAAATTCAGATGGTATACTCTGAAGGAAGTACTACTTGGCAAATTCTGTTAAAGGTATAACCTTTTGTCTCATACTTATTCCGGAACTAACATCACATCTAAGGAAACTTCAAGATGCAGTGCACATAGAAGTAAGTCGAGATGGCATCAGCCATTATTTCAGTTGTATCTGGATTAGATATGGGCTGCATATTTATATGTATTTTGAGTCTAAAAAACTGAACGAATTAGTCCCATAGTTTAAAGTTTCTATATAGTCCTAACGTGGTAAAGTAGCAAATGCTTGAATCATTGTGCAACCATTCATAATTGCAGGGAAGAACTAATTGACTGGATGCTTAGAAAAAACATGATTTCGATGGAGGCATGGGAAAATATGTGGGATTGCACCATGATATGGCAGTGTTGTGTTTGAAAGGGAACAAGAACCATAGTAACTATATCACGATTTTCTAAACTTAAGGTAATACATTATGCACTTTCTTCCACGATCATTTCACAATGGTGGGGAAGCAACAGACTCTGCAGTAGATGCACCTACCGTGAATTTAGGAACTCGAATTTTGTAAACATCCACAAGTTCCAACATCAAGCCATACAAGTTGGTGAAAGCACTATCCAATACCATGCCAGCAATTGAGGGATCTTCTGCTCCATATAGTAGGCTGTGTTACATTTATACAAAACATGAATTAAAGGCCTGAAGATGTACATAAACATCTCAATCCAAGAATTAAACGGAAGAACCAAGAACCACTTGAACACACACAGTTCTGTTCAGGAACCATCTAGTGCATTGTGATCTAAAAATATTGAATCGTATGAAATGAAATAGAGATGTCCCGGAGAAAATGGAGCACACATTGTATACAAACCAGAAAGTACCTTGTAACAGCACCCATCGATCGCCCCCAAAGGCCTATACGGGAAACTTGCTTGTTGGTGCGCAGGAACGATACTGCGCATTTGAGGTCCTCTTTCTAGAAGTAAATTACTGTAAATTTCAGAATACAGTGAACAGTGATATGAATGCAAAAGAACAAAATGTATACTGATTATATACCTCATGCCAACCAAGGCTGACATAATCTCCGTCCGATAGACCTGAACCGGAAAAGTCTAGTGTGAAAACTGTGATGTTTGAAGGAAGAAGTACTACAGCGGCTTCATTTGCGTCTGCTCTGCATCCGCTGCATTGAGTTAGAGCAAAATCCTGTTAAATATTCCAGAAGATATTGGTGATTGCTCGAGGTGATAAGCTAAATCATAATTACTAAGTACATAGATTTATAAATTTGTGCTTTTAATCCAGTGCTACAGTTTCCAAAATCTACATGTATGTTATATAAAGCAAGTTACATTAAAAAAGAATGCCAAAACTAACAAGTGCCCAATGCATGAGCAAACATATGCTAGCAGTGATCACGCAGAGATGGTACCTATTTCCATGGCAGTAGATCACACACGGGAGGGCAATATTTTCTGGAACAGAAGCAGGAAGATAGTGGCTGCATTTTAAGGTATGGCCCCTGGGATTTGTGAGCTGCCAGGTTAAGGTATACCAATAAGGTTATAAACAAACATGTCCCCAGTTGGCGTCACTTCTCATCAGCAAACTAAAGAAAGAAGAAACCTCGATAATTGGTCTCCGTACTTGCCTCCAAGTCTAGTCGTTTATACATTCGCCCTGCGAGCATAAACTCTCTCTCCCATAAGTACTGATCTGGGTTATACTCTGACCTGCAAATTAGTCATTCAATCCCATCAGATCAGCTGCAGATGCTTGAAATATTTGAAGTTCAAAACCTTACCAACGGACATGTCATATACTCCCTCCGTTCCTAAATATTTGTCTTTTTAGAGATTTCAAATGGACTACCACATACGGATGTATATAGACATATTTTAGAGTGTAGATTCACTCATTTTGCTCCGTATGTAGTCACTTGTTGAAATCTCTAGAAAGACAGATATTTAGGAACAGAGGGAGTACATGACATTTCTGGTCTAATTAAACATCTATCATAAGACTCGGATTTTATAAGGCATGAAGAGACCTTAAAGCTAAGTTTATACATCATCCCATACTTGGTTCGAGTTGATACTGTAAAAAACTATATACATCATCCTATTAACAAAGCTAAACCTTAAAGCTAAGTTTGAAAAGGAAGCATGGGCCATAAACATGACAACTAAAACAGAGAAGTGCAACATCAGAGACGGTGCAACAGAGGAACAGCCTACCATTTATCTCAGTCTCTCCTCCATAAGGATCTCAGTTCAAAATTTGAGCAGCATTAAGATTGCCACGATAGGTTAAAGTTACTTCTTAGCGCTATATGGACAGACATCACGTCTGAACAGATACAAGTACAGTTATTCTTAACATGACAACCTTAATTACAATTGCATTGTGGCTAGCTTTAACTGCATATGATAGTACTGATTTGCAACGAGCGAACAACATAATCAAGTCCAAGTACTAACTGAAACAACTGCCCTCATCGTCCTCCCAGATTTTAAGTGGAACTTGCAATTTCCAAAGGTACGGTTAACAAGGCAGGCAAAATGACTCGGCGTTGTCAACCGTACCACACACAATGAACAGCTATATACACGAGCATTAAAGCAACATAGCTAATCCGGACCTGATGTCGCATGTGTACCGAACTATCGATTTGTCCCACCGACATTGTTCCAATTTATAACGACACGGGCACGGCCGCATGCCAATGCAACGTCGTGTCAATTAGCACCAAACAACAAAAGCAGCAGCACATCATGCGGGAGGTAGGAGGGTACCGAGGCGGCCGGATGACGAAATTGACGAACTGCTCGATCATGGCGTCGGCGGCGTGCCGCTACAACGCGACGCCCGTGCGTCGTATGGGACTGTGGGTGGGTGGGCTCCAAGCGCTCACGGTGAGCACGCCCGCGGCCCGCCCGACTCTCACGGCCCCAGCTCGTCCTCTCCGAATTCCACCCCGCCCACCCGCGAGAACGCACCGGAGCCCACCACAGCCGCAGCAGGAGTCTCCCGGCGAGCGTAGGCGCGCGCGTCGGATCTGCGCGAGACGCCGCGGGAGCTCGCTGCCGCGCCGAGTGCCCGCCGGATCCGGCACGGTTGCCGGCGACCCGAGGCTCGAGACTCTCGCCGCGAGCCGCGGAATCCGGCGGGGAGGGCGGCGAGCGGAAGGGGGGAGGTGGGTGGGCTCTGGTTGGCGGAGGTGGTGGGGGGTGGGAAGAGGGGACGAGCGAGAGGGAGGGAGCAATAGCCGTGGGAAATGGAGGACGGTAATGAAAGCCGTGGTAATCGGGAGAATAAAATTTAATATTCTTTAATTCTGAAAACAAATGATGAGAGATACACGTGGCCGTACAACTTTTCATTTTTAGGCAGGTACTAGAAGGTGTAAGTACTTCGAATTATGATCTTGCTTCCCTTTTTGGAAATAATCGTACATTTAAATATTGCAACATCAAAAAATACAATATATATCTTGTTTCTGGAAAAAGTGTGCAAAAATCGGATTGTTTGTGACAGCAAAGCGAAACAAATAGTCTGGTGGTTATCTTGTTTCTGGTCAAGGTCATAGGGATTGAATGTACAATCACGTAGGGATTTGATCTAAAAGGTTATATATATAAAACACAAACGTGTTTATGTTACACATTATATCCATGATTGTTCATAAATGTGAAACACTATACTCTCATGACTTTACGTGAGTTCACTCTAGCTTATCCTTGATTCCTCAAAAATGAATTCACTCTAGTTTCCTTGATTCCTCAAAAATTGACTGTGAATTTGATTAGGTTTTATAGACAACAAGGCAATAGCAACAAGAGCAGGAGTAGGCTGTTATCTCCATCGTGAGGGGCCGAACATGGATAAACTTGTGTCATTCGTCCCGTTCAACCCCTTCGAGCTAATCACCGTAGCAATGGCCTTGCACCTAAGTCCTTTCACTAGGGCATCTGTCGTGTTAACACCATGATACGTCCATTTTGCATCATGCTTTTATATCAATATTTATTGCATTATGGGCTGTTATTTCACATTATGTCACAATATTTATGGCTATTCTCTCTTATTTTACAAGGTTTACATAAGGAGGGAGAATGTCGGCAGGTGGAATTCTGGGCTGGAAAAGGAGCAAATATTAGAGACCTATTCTGCACAACTCCAAAAGTCCTGAAACTCCACGGAACACCTTATAATAAGTAATGAAAATTCCTCGCCAAAGATGAAGACCAGGGGGGCCGCACCCTTCTCACGAGGGTGGGGGGCGCGCCCCCTACCTCATGGGGCCCCTGGTGGCTCTCCGATGACCATCTTCTTATATATGAAGTCTTTCGTCGAGAAAAAAAATAAGAAACAACCTTTAGGGACGAAACTCCGCCGCCACGAGTCGGAACCTTGGCGGATCCAATCTAGAGCTCCGGCAGAGCTGTTCTGCTGGGAAAACTTCCCTCCCGGAGGGGGAAATCATCGCCATCATCATCACCAACGCTCCTCTCATCGGGAGAGGGCAATCTCCATCAACATCTTCATCAGCACCATCTCATCTCAAAACCCTAGTTCATCTCTTGTATCCGATTCTTGTCTTCAAGTCCGGGATTAGTGCTAGTAGGTTGCTAGTAGTGTTAATTACTCCTTGTAGTTGATGCTAGTTGGTTTAATTGGTGGAAGATCATATGTTCAGATCCTTTATGCATATTAATACCCCTCTGATTATGAACATGTTTATGCTTTGTGAGTAGTTATGTTTGTTCCTGAGGACAAGGGAGAAGTCTTGCTATTAGTAGTCATGTGAATTTGGTATTCGTTCGATATTTTGATGAGATGTATGTTGTCTAGCCTCTAGTGGTGTTATGTGAACGTCGACTACATAACACTTCACCATTATTTGGGCCTAGAGGAAGGCATTGGGAAGTAATAAGTAGATGATGGGTTGCTAGTGTGACAGAAGTTTAAACCCTAGTTTATGCATTGCTTCGTAAGGGGCTGATTTGGATCCATATGTTTCATGCTATGACTAGGTTTACCTTAATACTTTTGTTGTAGTTGCGGATGCTTGCAATAGAGGTTAATCATAAGTGGGATGATTGTTCAAGTAAGAATAGCACCCAAGCACTGGTCCATCCACATATCAAATTATCAAAGTACCGAACGCGAATCATATGAGCGTGATGAAAACTAGCTTGACAATATTCCCATGTGTCCTCGGGAGCGCTTTCCCTTATATAAGAGTTTGTCCAGGCTTGTCCTTTGCTACAAAAAGGATTGGGCCACCTTGCTGCACTTTATTTACTGTTGTTACTTGTTGCTCGTTAAAAATTATCTTATCACAAAACTATTTGTTACCACTTATTTCAGTACTTGCAGAGAATACCTTGCTGAAAACCTTTTATCATTTCCTTCTGCTCCTCGTTGGGTTCGACACTCTTACTTATCGAAAGGACTACGATAGATCCCCTATACTTGTGGGTCATCAAGACTCTTTTCTGGCACCTTTGCCGGGGAGTGAAGCGCCTTTGGTAGGTGGAATTTGGTAAGGAAAAATTTATATAGTGTGCTGAAATTTACTGTCACTTGTTACTATGGAAAGTAATCCTCTGAGGGGCTTGTTTGGGGTATCTTCACCCCGACCAGTAGAGCAAAGAGTTGCTCCTCAACCTACTGAACCTATTGAAAATGAAATTCCTTATGAGTATCCTTCGAGTATAATAGAAAAACTGCTAGCTAATCCTTTCACAGGAGATGGAACAAAGCATCCTGATGAACACCTAATATATGTGGATGAAGTTTGTGGATTATTTAAGCTTGCAGGTATTCCCGAGGATGTTGCCAAGAAGAAGGTCTTCCCTTTATCTTTGAAGGGAGATGCATTGACATGGTATATGCTATGTGATGATATGGGATCATGGAACTATAGAAGATTGAAATTGGAATTTCATCAAAAGTATTACCCTATGCATCTTGTTCATCGTGATCGCAATTATATATATAATTTTTGGCCTCGCGAAGGAGAAAGCATCTCTCAAGCTTGGGGGAGGCTTAAATCAATGTTATATTCATGCCCCAATCATGAGCTTCCAAGAGAAACAATTCTTCAAAAAAATTATGCTCGGCTTTCTGAAAATAATCGCACCATGCTCGATACTTCTTGTGTTGGCTCTTTTATGATGAAGACTATTGGATTTAGATGGGATCTATTGGATAGAATCAAACGCAACTCTGAAGATTGGGACCTCAACAATGGTAAGGAGTCAGGTATGACGTCTAAGTTTGATTGTGTTAAATCTTTTATGGATACCGATATTTTCCGTAAGTTTAGCACTAAATATGGACTTGATTCTGAGATAGTAGCTTCTTTCTGTGAATCTTTTGCTACTTATGTTGATCTCCCTAAGGAGAAGTGGTTTAAATATCATCCTCCCATAGAAGTAAAAGTAGCTGCACCTATTAAAGTTGAAGAAAAGACTGTCACTTATAATGATCCTATTGTTCCTACTTGTTATGTTGAGAAACTACCTTTCCCTGTTAGGATAAAGGATCATGCTGAAGCTTCAACTGTGGTTCGTAAAAGCAATATTAAAACATATACACCTCCTGAGTAAGTTAAAGTTGAACCTAATATTGCTATTGTTAAAGAGCTCTTGTCTGATAATATTGATGGGCATGCTATTCAGTTCTGCGGTGAAACTGCTAGAATTGCTAAACCTTGTGCTAAAGATAAACATAGACCTGTGGTAGGCGTGCATGTTATTTCTTTTAAAATAGGAGATCATTGTTATCATGGCTTATGTGATATGGGTGCTAGTGCTAGTGTTATACCTTATGACTTGTATAAAGAAATCAAGCATGAAATTGCACCTGCTGAGTTAGAAGATATTGATGTCACAATTAAACTTGCTAATAGAGATACTATTTCAGCAATGGGAATTGTTAGAGATGTTGAAGTCTTGTGTGGGAAAACTAAATATCCTGCTAATTTTCTTGTTCTTGGTTCCCCACAAGATAGCTTTTGTCCCATTATATTTGGTAGACCCTTCTTGAATACAGTTAATTCTAGGATAGACTGTGAAAAGAATGTTGTTACTATTGGCTTGGATGATATGACTCATGAGTTTAATTTCTCTAAATTTAGTAAACAATACCGTGAAGAAGAATTGCCTAGTAAGGATGAAATTATTGGTCTTTCTTCTATTGCCGTACCTCCTAATAATCCTTTAGAACAATATTTGCTAGACCATGAGAATGATATGTTTATGAATGAAAGAAGGGAAATAGATGAAGTATTCTTTAAACAAGAACCTATGCTAAAACACAATTTGCATGTTGAAATCCTAGGGGGTCCTCCTCCACCTAAGGGTGATCCGTGTTTGAGCTTAAACTGTTGCCTGATAATCTTAAATATGCTTATCTTGATGAAAAGAAGATATATCCTATTATTATTAGTGCTAACTTTTCAGAGCATGAAGAAGAAAGATTACTGAAAACTCTGAAGAAGCACCGTGCTGCTATTGGATATACTCTTGATGATCTTAAGGGCATTAGTCCCACTCTATGTCAACATAAAATAAATTTAGAAGCAGATGCCAAATCAGTTCCTGGTCCTCAACGATGTCTGAATCCTAAAATGAAAGAAGTGGTAAGAAAAGAAATACTAAAGCTTCTAGAGGCAGG